GAGGGGATTTCACTGACCTTATCAGACCCAAAAGCTACAACTCTTGTTGCATAGGTCCTGCTTTACCTTGGTCTTAACCATCCAGCAGAAAGGTATGAAAATGAAATATAGGAAGTAAAGCCATGTTGTTAGGTTGAGCTGTAGGGGACTCAGGTCAACAATTCTGACATTGCCAGTCAAGCAGAAGACCCAATATTATTATGGGCTACTGGATTCTTTTGAAATATTTTGCTGAGTTTACATACCTATAATATTCAAATAACAGAACTTAACATAAAAAGGGTATACAGATGAATGTCCATTTTGTATCTGCGTATTCAAAGTGGTTAGGATAGATATATAGTTACATTCTATCAATGAACAGAATGATTTGTTCTAATGGTGTTTGCAAATAGAATATCATGTCCACATCTTGTACAGCAATTAACCACTAGGAAGAATGTATGCAATGTGTTAATTATTGAAACTGTCCTACCAATTTGATTTGAAACTGTCTCATTGCTATTTATTTATCAATAAAATTATGGGAAAAAAAAGAAGAAAGAAAGAAAGAAAGAAAGAAAGAAAGAAAGAAAGAAAGAAAGAAAGATTTTTTTTTCAAAAAAAGCACACTTCTGGGCCAGGGAGTTGGCTCAGTAGTATAAACACTTCCCTGACAAGCACAAGGGCCTGAGTTCAATCCCGGGTTAAAAAAAGAAAGAAAGAAAGAAAGAAATCACACTTTTTACTTCTATAAAAAACAAAACTAAATTTAATAAAAAATAATTGGAGAATAACAGTTGTTGATATTTAGTGTATCTTAAAATAGTGGTTAAAATGCTAGGAATATATCCCATCAGCATAAGCATTTACGTGGCTAGCACAAGGCCTCAAGTTTGATTCCTGGTACCAAAAAATTAAAAATTAAAAATTAAAATTAAATAAATACAATGGCTAAAGTGGGACTTAAAGCAAAATAATAGACAAAAATGAAATAAGCAAGTAAAAAGACAGCGCTTGCATTTCAAAGAACAAAGAGAAACTAGTAGTATAATTTAAACAAATTAGCTTATATCCAAAAATTGTGCAGAACAACAGAAAAGATAATTTGGGGAATTATTGGAACTACTTTTTCTCTATATATGTTTATATATATTCATATAAATATATATATATATACATATCATATAAGAGACATTATGCAATACTTAAGCCTGTTTTTCTGAAATAAGGCTGTGCATCGTTTTGAAACTTATGATCAACACATTTCCCTTAGTGAAAAGTAGGTTTCCTTCATAAAGTTTTGTCAGGATTCAGATTACATTGAATATAAACTGAGTGTCAATTAGAAAAACAGAAGGGGGAATCAATCCTTCCCACTTCACTTGTCAATATATACTATTAAATTTGCAAAAGATGGAAATACAGTAACAGAATGGATAATTCAAGAAAGTTAAAAAAAGAGTTTATCTGGGTAGAATATTTTCTTGTGTATTTCTAGAAAATGCTGAGCAACCTGTTTGGCTGTCTGAATTTGGTGACAGGCTGTGTCATAAAGCCAGATCTGAAGAAGCTGACAATGTTGAAGCTAGATTCAACCTAGGGCCTATTGAAGAACTGGCAAAATGTAAATCTGAGTTCTAAATAGGTGATAGAGCATATAGTGATAACTATACTAAAAGTTACCAGTAATTTACTTACTTATATATTTTTACCTTGTCTACAGGGTCTGCAGGGTTTCACTACACAGATCAGACTCCTAGTAATTCTCCTGTTTTCATCCTCCCATGTGCTGGGATTACAGGTGCATGCCACCATGCCCAGTCTCAATCACCCTCTCAGTGTGCCCCAAGGGGTAGGGCTGGCATGAAATGCCAAGGATCAAACCCTGTCCTCTGCTCTCTGCCTAAGCAGGCACTTTAGTCTGTTGTGCTAGCCGGCTGGCCCACCAGTATTCTTAAGACAAAATAAAATGCAAATATATGGATATTAACTATAGATAAAAGATTCTATTTCTTCCAAATTTTTCTGATAGATCACTGATAATTGACAAACAACAAAATCTGACTAGTCTATTTATAATTACAAATTTTTAAAATTGTAATAGTTATTATAGTTCAATTTCATCAAACGTATATTTGAGTACACTCTGATTTTGTAAAGTTTTTTGGTGTATTTTGTATATTATTTGTCCATTTGCAAGACTCCAGTTGGTAGTTCAATCGCTGGTACCTCAGAAAAAGAAAAAAAAAACACTCCAGTTGGTAAATGGTGGGATTGTCAATCATTGTTCATTAATGGGAAGCCCTCAATAATCTCCATATTCTCTTGGGAGATACCCTAATAAATTGTTCCTTGGAAAAGATAAAGGTTTTCTGAAAAATATTGTAATATGGGTTTCTTATAAAAGATTCTCTTAATATAAAACTAAACTAAACAACAAAGAATCTCATATAGGTCTGGTAATTCATTATTATTAATCTCATAATGTATTCAATCTATTCATAATTCCAGATGTACAGGTCCTCCAAATGTAAAATAAAGATTGCTTATTGTGATAAGAAATCTCTCAGAATCAGACCTCTGCTTTTAACAAAATCTTGTAACGTATATCTCATTAAAAGACAAGTAATTAGGTGAAAGCCTCTTATGTATTAGAGATGATTGGTTATGTTATGTCAAAAAATGAAAAGTTAACTATATCACAAAACGGAATCACAATTATCATGCTGCAATGTTATGTATGGCTTTGATTTTTAAATTTCTATGTAAAAATACGTAGCTGTTGTCTCTTATCATTCAATAAGGATTCAAATAATAGGATATTCTTTGTTGTTTGAAAATAATTGTTTAGTTTTATGTATAAGATGTTTGAAATTCATGGCCAGGGAGATAGCTCAGTAGAATAAGTGCTTGCCTGGCAAGCACAAAGGTCTGAGTTCAATCCCCAGTTCCGCAAATAAGATGTTTGAGATTCAGATAGGTAGTGATGTCAAGTTTACAGCCTCCATTGCAGGGTAATGTCGTTAAGCTTTTCTTCTGGGTGCTTAACAACTGAAGATTGGAGACCAGAAATTAGAGAACCTCTTCTGTGATATCCTTTAACTCAGCTGAGTCGCTAATTTTCTGATTAAAGAGATTATGGGACCACAGAAGAAAGTGATCAGCAATGGATAGTGTGCCTCAGGAGAGTCACCTAGAGAGAAAAAATGTCTCTTGAGCTTTCACAGAAAACAACTTGGTCACACAATGGCCATGATTCATCCAGGTGGCTGCCACTGAGAGAAGGTTTAAAGGTGGTTATCTTGGTTCAAAGGTAAATCCTGAGGAGTTTTAACTGACCTTTCTAGATACCAGTAAGTTATCTTTTTATTTGAATATGTTTTGCTTTAACTTGACCTTAACTAGCAGAAGAGTGTAACCACGAGATGTAGAAAAGCAATGACATAATGCTATGATGGCTGTAAAATGTTCAAATAACTGACAACCTCTGATATTTGCCAGTTGTACTGGAAACTCACTACTGTTAGGTATGACTAGACTTGTAGGGTTAAATTGCTGTGTACAGGCATCTTTGGACTGGCATAAAGACTGGAAAGGTCTTCTGCAGAGTTCTCCAAACATAGCTTCTCCAACTGCAATGCAACATTCATTCACAGAATAAAACAGTAAAGGGAGAGATGCTGAGAGCATCTGAAGGTGGAAATCTATCATATGTGGGAGGGTGGGACAAGGCCTCAGTGCATGAAGCAGTCAAGCTATGTGAATCTTGAGGAAAATGTACTCCCTGGACAATTTCAGCTATTAGTCGCTAGGCAACTTTGGGTTTCCTGTTACTACCTTTGCAAAGG